GATGCATTTTACAGTTGCATTGCAGTACATTCCTTAGTCTGGCATATCAGAACATTTTGGAAGACAAGTGTTAGGGCCACACACCCCCTCACAAGCAGGACTCATACCCACAGGATCCCCTTCATCCTGTGTTCTCTTGACTGTCACACAGCCACTCTTCCATGCAGTTCCATAACACCGTGTTACTTTATAATTCAGACTGAGCTGTACCCAAAATGGGTATCATGAAGCAGTGTCAAAAGCTGGAAAGTCTAAAGTGCAATACTGCCCAGCAAGTCTCACTCTGTGGTGCTCAGCTGTGCCTCTCCAGCTCCTGGTCCCTGCAGCTGAGGAAGGAAAGGCCCAGGCAGCAGCTTGCAGATCCCAAGATCTCCTGGGCTATTTGGCCTAGGCACCCTACTGAGACAGCAAGTGCATGGTACGGGCTGCAACCAGCCCTTCTGCCATCCTGCCTGAGCACTGACAACACCAAACTTGGGTTTCTTTTCTACACTGGAATCTTCAGGGGACCCCTAGTCATCCAGGTTTCATGTCCTGCCACAAGATGAAAATGCACTCATCCAAATATAATAATTTAATTTGTAAGAACAGACAGCCTCTATGCTGAAGCTGACAAGAGAAGAGCAGCCTCATGCTGTGGCTCTAATGAGCTTGCCCATGTTCATTCCTGAAAATTGACTTGTTTATGAACTCCATCCCTTTCCCATGGTGCTTATTGCTTAATGGCCTTGTTAACATAACAGTGCTGTTGATCTTGTCAGTAGGTCTGCTCAGACAGTTATTTGCATTCTAGGAGTTGCCTGCCACACCCATTCTTGTTTTCTGGTACACAACAGTACATAGGCAATGTTGATGCCTCCTGCATTTAAAAATATATGAATGTTTGTTCTAAAGTAGAGGAAAGCTAATTTTTAGTAGAAGAACTATATCTCCAATAGTTTATAATCCAAATAGAAATATTGCTAAAGATATCACTGTAGTAGAGTACAAAACAAGAATTAAATTTTTCCATTCCAGCACCTTCTACCTGTCCAGTGTTGGTGGCTTGCTTGGTTTAGATTAAGGTATGGTTTGTTCTGACCATTTACTTTTTTTCTCACAGCATTTTCCACTGTATTTTTTTTTCCTAGGGGTTCCTCCATCTAGTTTTACTGTGAGGTTAGGCTGAAGGTTTTAAATGAACAGTTTATACTTGGTCCTAATAGCTTTTCAAGTATAAAATTACATGGACTAAACCATAACTCTTATGTTCTCCTTTTCCTCTCTCAGAGATGGTTGTGTCATTTCCCACCACTACCTCCAAGACTTCCAAGAGCTATGTTAAAAAACAATACAATTTAGTTTTAGTAAGTCTGGAAACTACCTGGTTTATAGTGCATTTTATTTACATAAGGAAGAATATGTTAAGCAAACATCTAAAGATCTTTATCAATATCTCTAGTTCAACCTGTATTAGCCATTTATATGCCTAAAAATTACCTATGTTTTTTTCCTTTTTCAGAATCACCTCAATGACACTAAAAAATCCTGTATTAATTAAAATAACATGGTACATCTTCTGGATATAACATTCAGCTGAGTTTGGGAAAATTACTGAAGTGTAGGTGTTCTCTTCTAGCTCCAGCCTCTCACAGCAGCACTGAACAGGGCTGAGAGCATCTGTCCAGGCCGATCCTCGTGAGCCTCTCCCGGGGGAGCTGTGATGTACCAAACATCCAAAAATGAGTACTAAACTAATAGTAGAAAATTGTGACTCATATATTTCCCTTCTTTAATAAATGAAACACCTCTTTGTCTGAGGAAATGTAGGAATTATTAAGCTGGAGATGTGAAATCAAGAATTCAGGCGGCCTGCGTTGAGTATATAACTATTGTTCAAAAGGGACCATTAGCTCATCTAGTGCAAGGCCATCCACCTGGCAGCCTCTGACCTACATCCAGCCTGCTGGACAGTTCTGACTGGATCCCAAAATGGTTTTGAAATCTCCTTAGTGCACTCATAGCACACCCAGATCTCCCACATCAAAACCAAATTATTCACCAGGCAGAATACAGGTAGCTGCAATGTGGGCTGTTCTAGTCTCTTCTATTGGAAAAATTCTTACGAAATCAACTTCTCATTCTTATAGTGTTATCAATCATTTGCAAGAAATCTCTGTATCAGACGAGTCAGTACATCTCCCATGCACAGAGACTTGTTCTGTGCATAAGAAGGCTTTACTGTCATGCCTAGAGCAACCCAGATGTGTGCTGTTATGCAAGAGGAAAATATTTATGTGGGGCCCCTTTGATAGGTATGCTGAGGGCAATAATATCAGTGCGTGTTTTAAAAGTTTTAAAGGAAAATAAACATGGATTGTGCTTCTCACAGAGATCTGTTCTGTTAATTTTTCTTATTTCTTTATTATTTCCAGACTGAAGGAAATATATAAGGAGTTAAGAAGTCAAAATAGCTTTGTAGTCAATAAAGTCAAAATAAAATAAATAAAATCAAAATGGAATGCTTGAAAACTGTAATGTGTAGAATTGTAGATTGATGTAAAAAAAATTTAAATCTTAGTCCTATGACACAAACGTGTTAACCTCTTCCTTCATTATCTTTCTATTTTCAGAGGAAATGTCCAGCTAGGACAGGATGTACATTTACATCTATTCAGTAGTATCTGCTAACATAAAAGCTCCGTGCCAAGTCTTATCTACTGTTTACAAGTTTCATATTTTTGTGACCCCAGAAAGAGCAGCTGACTAGTGAAGTCAGGGAGATCAGTGTCTGTTGAACATTGCAAGCAATGGTATTGAATTATAGTTCTTATCTAAATATTTTCTTTTATATAATTATAAATATCTGGAGGAAGAAGCAAGTCCAGCAACTCATTGTCCCTCAGTTTCATAAACTGTAGTGATTTGGATTCTGCAGGATTACAAGAAGCATGCCTAAAGAAATAAGTATTTAGCTATTTTTCCTTTTGATCCCATAATATAGAATCATACATATAAATATAAAATGGGTTGAGTTGGAATATCATTTCCCAGTATAAATTCAGCAGACTTTGTCTAGGTCAGTACCATCTGGAAGCCTCTTAAAGAAATACTCTGTTCAAAAGTGATCTGTGTTTATTGTTAAAATACACATGCACTGGGCAATTTTTTGCATGGGTATACATTGTGCACCATGAGTAGAAATAACATACACAGACATTATTATTACAGATTTCATATATTTTTTTAGTGCCTCTTCAGATGTGACCCAAATGTTTCATAGACAAATATTTAACCTCATTTGCAAAAGCATTTTTGTTTTGTGGAGTTTTTTTGATAATCAACAGTGGACACAGCACATCAGGACATGAAATGTAGTGGTTTTTCTCAAGCTCTTTCACAACCCATGAAAATCTACAGAGTCTGAGAGGAGTTAAATTTAAATTATAAGAAGTTTTGACCTAGCCCACAACTGTACTTCCATGTATTATGTATACAGAACATTAACAGATAATTTTAGATTATCCTCTTTCAGGTCAGGTAATCATCCTACAAAAATGTAGACCTGTGAATCATATTATTGCTGTGTGAAATTATGTTTGGCTGATATGGGCATAAAATATTCACTGGAAACTTTATTCCAGAACCTGGAGACAATCGGAGTCATTCCACATGCAATTAAGATAAGATTAAGAGCAATATAAAGTTGGAAAGCTGTGAACCTAGAATCCTTCCTGTTTTCTAGAAGAATATTTTTTTCCCTTCAAGAACTTTTTTCTTTCTGGCACAGCCTTTGATCCATCAAGTGCATCTTCTATCTGTGCAAGACAGTGTGTGCTCTGTGTCACATTGACCAGGACTGTGCTGATTATAATGTGAGTACTCACTTTGTAGACTTGCAGGTGGAGCAGCTACCAAAGCGCACGTGCTACTGGAAGACCACCCAGCTTCTGTTTGTTGTGTCACTCGAATTCTTAATGTCAGCCTCACACATGATCCACACTGGAAGCCTCGAACAGTGCCTGAGCTGCTGACTGCATAATGATTTGCATAAACAGTGGAGACTGAAGTCCTGTGTTGGCTTCAGGACAACTGAAATTCATCACTGTCCTTTAGTTTTGTACTTTTTAACTTACATAGGCAAATAGCTATGTTTAGGAATTTAAAAAGTTAACAACAACATTTACAAGCAAGAAGTCTTTGAAAAAAGGGGAATACAATTAAAGAGCATTTATTGTTAACTATTACTTTGTGCAGTCATAGGATCACTTCTCCATTTTGTTTTCTGGTTGAGCTCTCTTCCTGAATGCCTGTTAGCTGAAGAGAATGTTCAGCAACTTTACTGCCATGATTCTTAAATCATTACAAATTTTTTTTCACTTCAGAGTCATATTTTGTTTCCTTTTTTTGGCTGTTACAGGAAATCTGGCAAGGATTATGATGCAGGATCAGCAGAAAAAAAACCCCTACTTAGGTGGGTTTTTTTGGTTTTTTTTGGTTTGGATTTTTTTTTGTTTTGTTTTGTTTTGTTTTTATTTTTTTCTTGAAAGAAAAAGTCAGAAAATTTCAGCCTGCAATTTAATGGGCTGGATAAAATGCTGATGGGTCAAAGACAGGTGTGGAATGCAGACTCTGGGCTCTATGGGGGATACATCTCTTTAGATACAATCCTTAAGACTGTTATGTGCCTGATATGTAAATAATAATTAGTAAATAATACAAGGCATACATTAATAATATTATGAACATCTTCCTGCCAAGAGGCAGACATTGAAAAATTAAACTAGAGGTCAGGTAGAAATGAGGATGTACCAAAGTAAAATGCCAACCTGGGACTCATCTCTACTGTAGTTCTACATGAACCCTTATAAATGAACATCCATGCAAACCCCCACTGACTGAAGATCTGTTGAGGCATTCTGATGGCTGTTTCTTGATGGGACCAGGACTTACTCACCTTTCAAGTTCCACAGGTTTAGCCAAGGCTTTTGAAAAGGGATGAGGAGACACAAAATGGCTGTTGCTGTTACTACCTTTAATTAGACAACATGATATGGAGCCTGTCCAGTGTGAATTCTCAGATCAGGTAAGAACAAGAATTCCATCCAATTATATGTGAACTTAAGAAATCATGGTAATTTTATAAAAACAACCAACAGTGGCTGCTTGAATCTTGCAGGGCAGATTTTCCCATCTCTTTGCTATTTGTAGTGATATGTAGTAGTGTGACGGCTTGTGCAGGTTACTTCCAAATGTGTCCTCAGACAAAATGTCCTCAAATCTTCTCTCATTTCTCTTTCTTTCAAATACTTAGTTATTTCCTCTGCATTGCATTCTGCATCCTTTTTTTCTGGAATGCAGTTGCACTTCTACTCTACTCTAATTTTGCTTTTTCCAAAGACTGGGAATCCAAAGCTGTAGGGTGAACAGGAAGACTGCCAGTGTCAAGGTACAACTATTATATTCGTTAGATATGGTGTCTCTGGTCATTGTTACTTTCAACAGCTGCATCTCTGGAAAGTAAAATACAGGACTGTAATAGCAGAAGATGGAGGACTTCTGTTATACATATTTCAGCCAAAATACACAAAAATAACTTTTTGTTAGTTAATAAATGTGAAATTTTAATGAGACAGGAAAAACTTAGAAAGCTTCTGGAAGTGCTAAATGCTTTAATGCTAGAGCATATAACAGAATCACAAAATTATAGAAGACCATAAAGATCATCTAGTCCATCCATTCTCACTAAGTCAGGCTACCATCTAACTTAAACCTTTCCTCTTTCAGTTTAAAACCATTTCCCCTTGCCCTGTCACTACCTGCCCATGTAAAAGTCTCTCTTTCTCTTTCTTTCAGCCCCTCTTAGGTACTGAAAGACCTCAGTGAGGTGTTCTTGAAGCCTTCTATTTTTCACCCCAACTCTTTCAGCCTATCTTTGCTGCTGAGGTGCTCCAGCCTTCTCAACATCTTTGTGGCCTCTTCTGACCCTGCTACTTGACAAGAACTATCATCAGCAAGCAATCAGTATTTTTGTTTGTCAGATTCCATTCCATCTAAGACAACCTCCATCTTGCACTCAGGTGAATCTGCCCATGTTATACATGAGAGTTTATTTTAGCCAGATTAAAAAATAAAAATAATTTTATTAGCGGTCAAATTCTATCTAGCCAGCCACACAGAAAGGACAGAGCCGAGCCCGGGGTCGACTCTGGGTGTGCAGCAGAGGTTTTCCCCTATGCCCACACACCTCCATCCTGGCACAGGCGGTTTTTATAGGGAAAATTCTGCCTGAGGCCAAGGTTTTAGCAATCAGTCCTTTCTTCTATTCGGAGTCCATATGTTAATAAGGATTTCTTTTTGGTGACGAGGAGAAAAATTCAATGTTGGGCGTTTACGGGAAGGCTTCTTTCACATGGATCTGTCTGAGTATTTCCATGATATCCATCTTGGACGATCAGCACAGACGATCAGCAGACAATGGCCCATCTCCCGGCCGAGCCACATCTGTTTACTTGTAAATCAGTTTCCAGTATACACTCAAGTCTCACCTACAAAAAGGGGGGGGAAGGGGGGAGGAACTAATACAACGGGCATGATTTAACAAGCATCCAATATTACATATTTCATACAAGGAATGGCGCAAATTATATTTACTATACATAACAGCCCATAAATACTCCTAACATCTCTTGCAGACCATAATGTTCACAGCCACTTCTGTATTACCAGGAAAAGAGAGTAACATAGAGCAACAAAGAGAAATTTAACCAAAACCACATAATCCATTTGTTAATCACAGTTCAACAATTCTTGATTTTTTTATATACAAACATCGCTTGTTCATTAGCTAGGACCAGTTTTCACTTCAGTTTTAATGTATTTCACAACAGATAAGCAAAGGACAGACTTGAACTACCCATCAGGCTAACTGTATATGGTTACTGAATCACTGTATTGGGCTGTCTTAACTTCCATTCTATGGCTAGGGTTCAGTGCAGTGAACTGTGCCTGCATGACCTATTGTAAATCATTAACAGCAGCTTGCTTGTACAGATATTTCTGGTGAGAAGCATTTAAATGTAGTCACCTAGAATGAACCACTGTGAATTTAGCTGATGAGTAATTTTCCTCCACATCTACTAACAAGGTTTATTGTGTATACAGGGTTTAATAGGAATTTTATGTATTGCTGATGGTACTTCTGAGGTTTTGATTGAAGGCCTGATCTGTTAAATGTCTGAATGCAGTATAATAGAGAGGTTTTTTTAACTTTCTGTGTGTTCATTGGTCCAGATCCCTAACCATTTTATGTGTTCGCTCAGTGAATTGCATTGGAGAGCGTAAAGCTGCCTGCTAAATTCCTGGTGCAGCTGCATCATTCCCATAGAAGGATGATCATTTGTGGGATATGAGATGTGTACAGATACCCTGTTTTGGGCACTGCATGATGATATTTGCTTCTTGACAAGCACCAGGAGCCTCAGCAGAGTCACACCTAACTGAAGGAATTTTCGATTTTCCTCTACAGATCACAGGACTGCCAGGTATTACTAAATACACTGGTAAAAGTACAAAAATGTGGAAGATTTCCTACAGCTATGATCTTATGAACCACCCCTTGGGTATCGTCAGCAAATTTTTTCTTCCTTCAAATGATTAGAGGTCCACTGGTTTTAAGCTCACTGCAGTGACTTGGGGAATTTGTGGACTGATAAAATTATTGCAGGATAAATGCAGAAAGTAAACAGAGCCTGTAAGGAGCTTAGAACAGATGTAGGTATTCAGCAACTAGGGTCTGTTTGCCTTCATAATCTGTGCAATTATTGTGATTGAGGACACTTCTGATAAAACATTTCCTTTCCTACTTACAGTGTACTACAGACAGATTCAAGCAGAGAAAGGTACTTCATGATTGTAATGGAATTTCCAAGCAGAAAACCCAAACATTTTGCTAGATCAGGGCTCCTTTAAGTCTCATTTTATTTAGAAGTGGACAATTGCATGTGTCAGCTATTCCTTTGTTCACTGAAACAATCTTTAGGTCTACATCAGAGGATGTCAGCTTTAGTTCCTTCCTTTGAATTCTGAGAAGTGTGCATTTAGTTACCTTAAGCTGTGATTTACTTTACTTCAGTGTATCTTTTCGCCCTTCACTTAAGTGAACCTTTTTTAACAGCATTTATTCATGTTTATTCAGCATAAACTGATGGAAATTTCTTTATATAAGCATTATGTAACTCTAACAGCCTTCTGCTATTGCAGTATTTTCCACTATAAAGTATGAGTAACTACCCTGAGTTGACATAGTTGTCAGAGAAGACAGAGAAGAGCCAGTAAACAATTAAGACTTGCAAGTGGACTTTGAATACTGTGTTTATGACATCCTTCAGTCACAAGAGCAAAACAGGCACTGAAGTCCTAAGGCCTCACAATAGGGTTAATGCTGAATCTGTGTTCTGCCCCCATCCTTGCATTATTTGCACGATACAAATCTCCTTAGCAGGTGTTACCACGATGTAATTTCTGACAGCCACAATTCCATGTCCTTTGGGATTGTGGCATTCATTGTGTTATCGTTTTTTATGTATTTTTTTTTTTTCCCAAGAAGTAACTACATTACCAATCTAGATAACAGAAACAACAAATGACATTTCTGTGCTCTGATGCTTTGAAAAGCTTGGAACATGTCAGAAAATTTTATGTTCAATAAGAAAGGAAGGTGGCTGTTCTTTCCACCAGATCTATTAGCCTCCCCAAAGAAGAAAGAAAGTGAATAGAAGCAGGATGATCATTAAAAAAATTATTGTTTCAAACTGAGGGCTTGTCAAAATTAGAGTTCATAACTTGCCTCCTGCTTTGATATTGGACCAAACTCAACAACTAAGAAAATATTTGCAGTGGAAAGCAAAAATTAATATTTAAGATGATTGTTTCTTTACAAGTGGTAGACAAAAGGCCTATGAACAGAAGGGGGATTAATGTAAGAAATAGAATAGTCAGACTCCTAGACTGTTAATTTGACAATTATTAACAGCTTAAACTATGTTCATAAAAACATCCTGTGGAAGCGGATTTTTTTCCCCACTCAGAAACAGTAATACTTCAGACTGAAGTTTAAGCATATTTCATTTATAAATTTCTAAACCAAATTAATTTAATCCAAAACCAAGATTACAATATTTCCTACCACTTCCTCTAAGACAGAGTAATGTTTCTCATCAATAAATATTGAGGCAGAGTAATGATCTAAGGTAGGGTGAATATTTAAAAGTAAGATGCTTATGGCTTATGGCTGTGAACATAGTTGAAGTAATCTTAGTATTATAAGGGTTATAAAAATATAATAAGAAATAATACTATAGTACTATAATATTATAATAATAAATACATATAGTATTTATTGTCACAGGGATAATAGCTAGCAACAGGTGCTTCTCATCTCTTGGTTAGGCATCTGAGGGTCTGCAGGTGTCTTTGCATGCTGTATGGGAGGAAATACTCACTTTTCCATAGTGACCACTGTCCATTTCCATCTTCAGTGTGATTTCCACAGCAAGGTACTTGTTTTATACAACAGTTGCTTCAGCTCAGTTTACTCTGCCTGAGCTCTGGTTCTTCAGTACTTGTGAGCTGCATGTCATAGCAGCACTCAGTGATATTACCTATAGTTTATTGGTTCAGCACTTGTTAATCAAACCTTGTCCACATCCTCTCTACAAAGAAAAGGAAAAGGAAATGGAGATGCTCTTCCTCTGAGAGTGTCTCCACCTGTGTTGCTATAACTGGCAAGAGAACAACTGTCAGGCATCACTGAGATGCATTACTTTTATTGGCCCTATTAATAGAGCTGTACCTGCTTCATTTTTGTTGACTGCTTCTGTGCTCATGCAAGAATTGGTGGATGTGGTGCACACCAAATACTTCCAGCCAACCTTACAGGATTTTGCCAGCACTGAGAATGGTCCCCGACACCTGAAGCAGGAGGCGAGCAGATTGTCTATCAATTGAAGCACTAAAGGGTTTCAGGTAATAGGTAAACATTATTGCACATATGAGGGTTTGGTACCAAACCAGCCAAGAGTACAAGATATGTTTCCCTAACAATATAAGGAATACAAACATACTCCACTTCTTAGAGAACTTCAGGTCTGGTATGAAGTCTGTTTTCTGCATTCTTCCAGTCTTCCAAGACTGCTGAACAGAAGTTCAGATATTTCTCATTCTTTCCACTGACCAGTGGAAAAGAAGTGCATATGCTATGCTTTTGCAGCATAGCATAAACCCCCCAAGGTCAGCAGTTCCCTATCTTGCATCCAGCCTAAAGCAAAATGCTTATGTGTGCAGAAGATGGCCTCAAGCCATAGATCTAAGCAGTATCAATCTCAACACCTTGAACTATGAGGACACACCAAGTCTTTAAACATTAATTTCCCCATAAACACATGTAATACGTACATTGAAGGAAATCAAAGCAAAAGAAACTGCTGTTAAACTAAAACATCGTGCATAAACAATTCTGTCACCAAGGAAAGAGAGTAGGGAAATCCACAAGATACCTTGGTGATTCTCGGGTTAAGAAAATACAACAGTGGAATACAGAGGCTCAGGTACCTACTGCTGGCAGCTAGACCTTCATGACTTTCATATAGCTACATCGATTTAAATAGATGAAATTCTGGGCTCTAGCTTTCAACAAAGTTGAAGAACTGGGAGGTTCTACAGAGAATATTTTGAAAGCAGAGTGATATAATCAAGAGCAGCTTGGCCAAAGGAGCTCAGTATGTACATGCCCTCAGATAGAACACAACATTCTGTAAGGCAAATATCAGATAAAGCACACGAGAAAAACCTGCTAGCTCAGCGTTTTTGTAAATAGAGAAGTGCCTTCCCCCCTCACTGTGGTTACCACTGTGTTCAGAAAATAACTCCTCAGCCCATCCCCCTGCTCTGACTGTACCACTACCTCCAGCTGACTGGGGTGACTGACAAACTGCATAACAAGATATTTGAAGTCATGATAGTAAAAATGATTTGCTATTATGCCCAATAAATGGTTTCCACTTGGGATTAGTTAATGGAGAAATATTTTGGGTACCTTTTGCTTAAGGGGTTTCCTTTGCTTGCAGGGTCGTTCAGAAAAAGCTCCCTGAACTTTGAACCATATCTGCAAAGTGAGATAAACAAGAGCCATATAAATACCACAGCTCTTTTCCCCACACTGTTTCCTTCTGCAGCAGAGCCAGGCAGAGCTGCCAAGAAGGGGGAGGAGGGAAGGGTAAGTGTGCTGTGTTTGCTGTGAAAGAGCTTCATGACTTAAGATTTGGCAGAGTGTTTGCTTGTTTCTTTGGCTGAAAAGGCTGACTGTGGAAATTTCCATTGGAAACTAAGCTGAAACTTGAAATATGAAGTATAAGACATGGCTCTCCTGCAGCTCACAAGGCGGACAGCTGTTGCTGGGTGCTGCATGCCAGTGCTGCAGAAGGCTGCTGTAAAGACAAGAAAGGATTATCAAAATGTCATGAGAGTCTCATGTGCTCATAATGGTTAAAAAGGCAGGCTGCTTTCCTGATGTGTGGAAAGAATGGAAAAAGGCTGTGTTGGTATATATTGGACCACAGTTTAGTCTTCAAAGTACTTTACCTAGAACATCGGGAAAGACTGTCAGGGACAGCTGGATTTCACAAATGCAGCAACAAATGACTCTTGTTTTAAAAGGTTTTTAATCCTTTAGGCTATGACAAGATGGATAGAACATGTATATTTATCAGAATTCATTGTGTTTTTAATCCTTTAGGCTATGACAAGATGGATAGAACATGTATATTTATCAGAATTCATTGTTTCCAAACTATTTTGTGGTCACTGTCATACTTAGATGTAAGTGGTGAAGTTGTACAGCTCCACAACCTAGGACATGCTGGGGAGCAGCTTTATAATTTTATATGTTTATAATTTTCAGTATTTCTTGATAATGTGTGTTTAAGCCAAAATTGAGATGTTAATGGAATAAAATGAAAAGGTAATTATAGAATTTCTTATATGCTTTGAATTTCATAAACATTAACTGGACTAAGTATGGATATGAGATTTTATAAGATCTGAGGATTCCTGAAATTCAGTTTTCATTTCTGGATTTTGCAAAATTGTTTCTTGTACCTGACTTCTTCATAGCTTTTTCTCAATGGGATCCAGATACTCCAGACTGACTTGTAAAAATTTTGAAGTATTTTTTATTATTTTCTGCTGTGTTCTGTAGTACTTACTGTGTACTGAAATCCGCTCTTGGTGTGTGTACTTTAAAACAGTGGAATTACCCTGTAATCTGGAGTGAACTGGTCTAGATTCTTCCTGACATAAACAGGCTTACCACAATTTATTTCAAAAAACAAGAAAGAAGGTCACTTTAAAATCACTGAATTGTTAAAAATTGTTAAAAAGAAATTACAAAGAGAAAGATTAGTAGTATTAAAAAAATTCCAGTGATTCTGAATATTTACTTTTTAGCTGTTCAAACACAGTAACAAAAAACCACAAAAACCTTCAAGCACCAAAAAGAAAAAACAGCTGCTTCTATTATAGAGGAACTCTACTGATAAACCAAAGAAATTGAGTAGTAAACAATGTGTTCAAATTTATTCTTACAGGGTTTTCT